AAAAAAAAATTTAATTTATTTGATGTTTGGTTTAAGTGAAAGTTGTTGTTACAAAATAACAATACTTCTAAAAATCTGAGTTCTATGATAAAGTCTTAGAGCAAATTAATAGATGATTAGTTTCTTTCATTTTGATATAACGTTTGTTCGCTACCATCTTCAATTATGAACATCTCCAATATCGGTAGTTCTGTTGTACACTGTTGTAAACTTATTTTGATCAGATGCCTTATTTACCATTGATTTATTTTATGTTATTAGCATTCATGTATTTAAAACATTAGAGAATAAAAAGTAATAAAAAACAAAAAAATAACAAAATTAAACATCACATTATAACAGTAACAAACAAAGGTATCAAAATTACAATCACAAACGCAAACACAGTTATGATAACAATTTTGAAAATTGTATAAAGTTTAATTACAGATTCATCAGTCTATTTATTTACAGACATAATTATTTGTTTCTATTTTTATTAGATGAAAAAAATTAGATAAGACATACAGAAGAAACTGTAATTTTGTTTTAAATATTTATTGAGCTTGTATAGGTGGAGAGTTACACGTTGGTCAAAGGAAAAACACAACTGCGTTTGCCTTCTGCCTTCACGTTTGTCCTATGTTAATGCTAAAATTTCAAGTTCACCTATAAAGTTGAAATTAAGCTAAAACCGCGAATAAAACTAAGACGCACAGTACAAATCAAACTTTTTTCTCGTGCAAAGGTTGTTTCTCTTCTAATTTCTTTTGTAAAAGAATTGTTCGCTGTTTAAATCACAGTTCCAACGCTATCATAACTTTTTTATCTCCAAAGTTAGATCTCAGAAACAAAATAGGATACCACTTTTTATAATGTCTAAAAAAAAGCAAAACGTCATAAAAATGTTAATTTAGAGTACACGAAAATTCGCTGTAAACTTAACAATAGTACTATTCAACAGTTCTCTGAAATTTGAAAGCTAATTAGTTGATTATTACGTTGTCAGCTTTTGAACTTTTATGTGTTGTTCAATTTCATTTTAATAGTAAAGAATAAGTTTTTTATTTGCTTAATATAGTTCCGTGGTTGTTCTACTGTATTTTTTTTTAATTACCCAAGTAAAAAGTAGGTTTCTGGAAAGCGCCAGAAGTCCAAAGCGCTCCCACATGGCAGTTTATAAACTGCAGACAATTACTTCACCAACGGCAGAATTACTGACATTTTTGAAGAAATAACAACAGCAAAACAAGTTCAATGAAACCATCAGTTTTTCGAAGTTTTTTTTCTTTTTATTTTGCAAACACTCTAATAAAATAAAGACTTGGGAGCACTTAGTAATTCTCAAAACGTACATTAAATGTGAGACTTCAACGTAAATCCGAAGCGACCACATCAGATGAATCATTTTATATTTTCAAGCGTTAAAGTGTAGAAAGCTCTAAAAAAACAATGAGTCGACAATGAAGAATAAAAATTTGAAAGTTCTACAGAAGTCGATCTTAACAGAATTTTAGAACGCTCGTTATTTTTCACATCTCTGTTAGCTTCATGGATACGCAGTAAAGCATTTTTCACAGTTTACGTATTTTGATTTCCTCAAGATTTATTATTGAAAGTTCGTAAAATTTAGTTTACTAAAAAATATATTCAACAGAGTAAACTACTATAAAATCGGCTAAATTTTTTCAGATTTTATCTTCCAGCTTAATGTGTCGCGACCGCTCGCGAAAGGCACTGTAGGGAAAAAAGGTCACTGTAGCTCCTTGAGGGGGAGCTCCCGAAGGGATTGCGGACTGACTGCCTGAGGGTAAAAAAGCGACGTATAAAAGAGGCAGCCATTAGAAAACAGTTCAGTTTTGCTGTTATTAGAGTTCGAGTCGTGTTTTTGATCAATGCTGATTGCTCATCTGCGACTGTCTACCTCAGTTTATGTTACTTTTTTCTGTCAATACCTATCTAGTAGGCAGCTTTTAATCTGTTTAATTGGTCCTAAGTTGTTTTCATCTATAATTTATATTTCTCTTCTTAGTATACTACTGAGTGTGGACCGGTGTCAGCCAGGATTTCTCTTTGTAAAATATAAAGGTGATGTAAGAATAAAAGAGTTGAATTGTAAGAAAGGGCTCCAGCATAGTAAGGAGGCGTTACCCGAGGCGTACATAAATCGTCAGGCTATAGGAAATCAGAGACAGTGAAGTCGAGGATCTCAAATTAACTAAAGTTACGGTCTATTGGTTGGTACTGTGGCGAATAAAGGCCAAATTACGACCCGCAGTAAGAATATTATGTCATAAGAAAGACTTATTGGGAGTGTTGGGGAATTATACCGTAGTTATTCTTTCATTTTGGAAGATGTACGTTAGCTAGGACACTCATTTTTTTTTTTTTTTTTTTTTTGTTTTGTTTTGCATTGTAGCAGAGAAAAACCGGCTGTCTTGACGAGCCTCAACCAGGAGAGCGGGCACCAGGTTGTTGTGGCGGCTAGCTTACAGGCGTTGGAGACTCGTGAATGGCAATCAGATACTATCTTTAACTTTAACTCGAAAAGAAAAAAAAAACAGAGGTCAGTAACAAAAATGATATGTTAGTGAGGTGTGCCTGTTAACAATGACGACACATTACAGTGAAAACAATGTTTTTAATACCCATTTCTTTACAGACAGTAAGTGGCCATGGCCATATTCCAGTTATGCTTCAATAATGCATAGGGTGCAGAACTTGTATGACGTTATCAAGTACAGTGGACTGTGGAACAGAATTTAAGGTAATAGTTCAGGACCTGTGCAGTTGGAAGAGGCTTACCAAAAATTTTACACTGGAAGAATGCAAGTTTTTTCATTTAGTTTAGAAAAGAAGGTTTATTAACATGGCTTACATAAAACACTACCAAAAGTCCGGACTATTCATATATTCAACAATATCAGTTTGCAACGCAAAAAGTGAATTTATATTTATTTGAACATGAAGTCGTCTTATAAAAAG